ACTTGTTGGGTCTTTCCCAAAAAGACTCATGGCTGTATTCGATCAAAAGGGTGCTTCTACTAAATACTGAGCAAAGGGTCTGAATACTTAGGACCATGTGATATTTCAGTTTTTCTTTTTTAATAAATCTGCAAAAATGTCAACAATTCTGTGTTTTTCTGTCAATATGGGGTGCTGTGTGTACATTAATGAGGAAAAAAAATTAACTTAAATGATTTTAGCAAATGGCTGCAATATAACAAAGAGTGAAAAATTTAAGGGGTCTGAATACTTTCCGTACCCACTGTATGTATCAGTACACTAACAACTGACAAATTAAAATCTAAATCAAATCAAAATTTAATTTAAAAAATCCAATTAAATTGAATTCTTATATTGCATTATTATTATTTTTAATCATATTTATTATTAAAAACAATCAATAAAAATAACATCTAGCAACTTATCTAGCAAATAATTATTAAATTAATCACCAAATTTGGCTCGAAACTCTTATTTTTAAACAACAAAAATATATCTTTACCAGAGAATCGAATCTTTAATTTTATAAATTTAAATATGATCAACCCAAAACATCTGGGTTAATACACATTCATAAAATAAGTGTTTTATGGTTTTTTCCTCTAAGTGACAAAAGACGCATACAGTCTCAATGTCTCTAAAAAAAATGTTGTGACTACTTCAAATGAATAACTTTATATGTAACTTCTTTAACTTTATTGGTGAGACAGTATTTACTTGGTAAATTCCAGACCTCTTTCCATTCAGTCTGATCATATAACGAATTCCAATGTGGTTCTACATATTTTTTAATATAAAAGTTATAAAATGTATTATCTATAATTTTCACACCATTAATACTTAACTGATTCGTATATAAGGGGATAGACTAAGAAGGTAAATTGCCAGGCAAAAGCTGAATAAGGCCACTAAGCATGGCTTCAAATACTACTGCAAACTCTTTAACAGTTACAGGGATCTTGTAATAATTAAGGAATTCACAGTGATTAAAGAGATGTCCATTATTCTTTAATAACTCTCACCAAGATTATACCATTATTGTACCAGTTTCTGTAAAATAAAGTCTTATTTTTAAAGGTAATATATCTGTTGGTCCAAATCACTGTTATGTGGAAAAAAGTTATGAGCATCCATAATAAACAAAAAAGAAGAAAGCTTGTTTACATAAAAATGACACCTAAAAATTAAAAAAAAAAATCCAAACCCCCTAACTTGTCAAAAATGTACTCAAGGATGATATTCCAAATTTTGCCTTTGGATTTGAGGTAGTTCTTAATCCATTTGTTTTTAAATATTTAAATACATATTTAGCAGTATTAAAGTCAAGTACATGAAGACCTCCTAAACTGTCATGACACAATGGCTAACGTATCACGTACCGTAACGCGTTGACGTCAGCACGTCGAGGAAGTGACGTGAACACGTGGTTTACGGCCGTCCACGCTTCTACATAGAGTGACTATCGGTAAATATAAGATTACTGTTGTAATTGCCATGAAATTTATAGTGAAGTTATTACAGTTAGGATGTAATATATATTGTTAACCGCGTTGCCATTTGAGGACATCGAATTGATAGCGTATAATGAATAGAGAAGTTAAAATAACTTCATTTAGCCGCCTGCTGCTAACTACCTTAACTAGTGCTGTTTAGTGAAAGTTACTTAGAACGAGTTTAACCCTCAGGTTTAGTTGAGAATTACTTTATTTAATCGTGGTGCCCTAGAGTCCCCTAGGTTTCAAAATAATCGTGTCAGAAGTACATTCTCTAACCTAATCAAAACCCAATACAAAGATGTGATTGAATCCTAAAATAGTACCATATGTACTATTTAGAAATACGATTGTTATCCTTTATGATCATTTTCCATTGAAATATAAGTGTTTATGTTTCATTTTGGGATCAAAACCTAATAGTAGAGAAATACATTGAAAGCATTTTTTTTTAAACTCTCAACTTACCAGATCATAGTTGCTGTATACTGTTATATGCTGTTATATAATATATATGCTGTATACTGTTACTAATGTTTGTTGTATATCATGTTTTTATAACTTCCCTATTTCTTTTTACTTATTATTATCACTATATCCCTATGAATGTTGTTTCTCATCAGTTTCAGACAGCTTTGATCCGTTCAAAAGCAGAAGAATGGCAGTCCGTGCCTCATTTGAAAAGAATAATGAAATTGGATGCTTTGCCAAGCTCACAAACACATACTGCTTGGTAGCGATTGGTGGTTCAGAAAACTTTTACAGGTAAGTCATACTAGTTACTGCACCTTCAGTAACCAGGGAGGCCTCGTCCACCCCAAAACCTCCATAGAAGATCAAGATGAACTCTCATCACTCCTGCAAGTACCTTTAGTGGTGAGTGACTGCTCTCTGACAATCCGTTCATTTGGACAAATCAACATGGTTTCTGAAGGATCATGTGACACTGAAGACTGGAGGAATGATGCTGAAAATTCAGATTTGCATCACAGGAATAAATTACATTTTACAATATATTACAATGGAAAACAGTTATTTTAAATGGTAATAATATTTCATAAAATTACTGTCTTTGCTGTTTTTTAATCAAATAAAAGCTGCCTTGATGAGCTTAAGAGACTTCTTTTAAAATTGTAAAGAATCTTACCGACCTAAACGTTTGAACAGTAGTGTAAATAGTGGTGTTAACTAAGCTAAGAATCACTATTATTATTTGTTATGCAGAATATACACACACAGAGGATGTATTTGATCATTTGTGTAGAAGTTTATCAAAGTTACTCATTTTTTTGTTAAGCTTTTTTCTTTTTAATGTCAGTGATCGTTGATTCTACCAATCCTAATTTTCAGACTATTATATACCTTGAGTATTTATCTATAAATGTATGTGAAATGACTAATAGGGGCAAATGTATTCACTACATCGTCAAACCCTAGACTGAAGTAACTGGTGTTTTGTCAGAAACCTTTATATATTTATGCAAGGAACTACTTGATTTCTTTACACTGATGCTGACTCATTGATAATTGTGACCCTGGAGCACAAAAGCAGTCTTAAGTCGCTGGGGTATATTTGTAGCAATAGCCAAAAATATATTGTATGGGTCAAAATGATCAATTTTTCTTTTATGCCAAAAATCATTAGGATATTAAGTATAAAGATCGTTCCATGAAGATATTTTGTACATTTCGTACTGTAAATATATCAAAACTTAATTTTTGATTAGTAATATGCATTGCTAAGAACTTAATTTGGACGACTTTAAAAGGCGATTTTCTCAATATTTAGATTTTTTTTTTGCATCCTCAGATTCCAGATTTTCAAATAGCTGTATCTCGGCCAAATATTGTCCTTTCATAACAAACCATACGCTTATTATTCAGATGTTATTATAATGTATAAACCTCAATTTAAAAAAATTGACACTTATGACTGGTTTTGTGGTCGCAGGTTTTAATGTGGAATATAAAAATTGTGGAAATAAGTATAACATGCACACAGTGACAGAAAACAAACGGAATGCAAAATATGAACTCCCAACTAGTAAAGTAAAACCTATGACAAGATCAAAAATATTGTGCACTAGTTCAACTCTTTGGGGTCTGTAGGATTTTTTCGTTTCTTTAAGTCTTATTCTCACCAAGGTTCCAATTATTTATTTAAAAAATACAGTAAAATGTGATTATTTTATGATTCTTTGGTGAGTAGAAAGTTCAAAAGAACAGCATTTATTTGAAATGGAAATGTTTTGCAACATTATAAATGTCTTTAGTGTCAACTTTATCAATTTAATGTGTCCGTGCAGAATAAAAGTATCAGTTTTAAAAAATCTTGCTGACCCCAAACTTTTGAATGGTAGTTTCTGTATAGAAGTATATTATAAACATAAAAAAATCATGAAAAAACGAACAAAGCTCAGCAAAAGGCATTTGCTATTGGTCTAGATCTTGCACAGGGCTTTCACCCTTTTAACAAATGAATTTCCATGACATTTACAGTTATTCATTATCACGATATCCAGCTGTTAGTGGTTAAGTATCATTAAAATCATTTTAGACATTACTGGCGTTTCATTTGTAACTCGGGTACCAATCCTTGGAATTAAGTGATTTAAACAACCATACATGGTGTACCATACATGGTGTCTCCAAAGAGAAAAAAAGAGAGAACCCGAGCTCTGAATGCAGCGCAAAGCATTTGATTCAATGCATATGACTCTGAAACCCAATGTCAAAACATAACCAGAAATTTACACTCACTACAGTCATTTTTGGGACTTTTAACACTTTATGCTCCATGATTTTTGCAAGCCTGGAAATCTATTTAAATTCCCTGATGTTTGAAGGTTTTCACAAGTATAGACCAGGCAGTTTTTGGCAACATAAATGACTTTTAAAATTGAACACGATGTAACAAGCAAGCTTTAACAACAGTTTTTGCTTAAAAAATGTGAGCTTCTAGATATTTGGCATCACAATGGACTGCAGAAGCTACATAAGACATCAATGTGTATTGTATTGTATAAAAAAATTGAACATATGTATTATATGTGTATACATCAACAGCAGCTAGTTTTCGAAGCGCAACACTATGATTGTGGAGATCTGCAGTGGTAACAGCACATAAGTTATCTTAAATAAAGTTTTAGGCGGTGATATGTAGACTGTCTAAATAAAACCACTTTAGATTTTTGGTGCACCAAGATCTGTCAATTATAATCTTTCATGAATTTGTACATTTAAACAAGATTTCTTATTGTATCCTCACGTTTGATAAAAACAAAAACATTTCTTTGCTTTAAAACCCCATTTTAAAACAATTTTCAGCACAAATGCGACGTCCCTGCAACCTGCACAGAAAGACGACTCTTTCCAGACACCTGCTCAACATTCATCTCTGTAAATACGTACGGTTAACATTCAGTCGTCTGATTACTGACTTTACAGACATCACCAATTTATATATCAGTTCTGATATAATACTCAATGCAGCAATATGTTCAAACCACAATGATCAATCACATTCATCACATGAACTGGTCACTCGAAATCATCTGTTGCTAAACAGATGGAGGGACGAAATATGTGTTTGTGAAGTTATAAAAAAAAAAAAGAGGGAAGAGAAGCACTGGCAGCGATACACGGCAGCGAAGTTAACCTGATGAACTTCAGGAAGAAGTTTAAGGTTGGCTGTGAAGTGCTCAGGTCAAGAGCATTGTGTTCAGTTAGTTCTGCTCTTCTTTTAGATCAAACCTGACAGAGAAAGAAAACCAATTTAAGGAACAGTTCATCCAAAAATAAAAATTCCGTCGTTGAAGAAGTTAAACAGATATCAGAACAACATAAATAAATAATTCCATGGGAAAATATTTGTGTGTTACCAAAACTAACCATTCTGTGACTCCAGAGATTAAGTCCACATGTCCCAGGTCTATCTGCACCTACAAGAATAAATCAACAATACATTAACACACTAAAATTGTTAAAATTAAATAAATATTATTAATATAACTTATTGTAAAAAAAAAAAAAAATTTTAAAATTATATATATATATATAATAAAATTATATTATAAACATTAAAATATTTAGAAAATTTAACAATTTATTTATATATAATTTTATTTTTAAAATAAAAATTAAATATGAACATTAAAATATTCATGAAATTGAATACAAATAAAATTATATAGTTAATTGTATATCATTTTATTCTTAGTTAATTTACATAAATGAAATTCAATAAAAATCTGTTATTTGTTCATGGCACAAAGTCATAGGACACATTTTTTTGTCTCGCTTTACAGTAAAAATATCTAAAGATATATATTTAAAAACATCATGTGCACTTTAAATTTCGTAAATTTTTATTTAAAACAAAGAATACAAAAAAGTAACTCATAATTCAAGATAAATCCTCTGAAAACAATTCTTATTATCTTAAGAATTATAGAAGAATATTATCTTTAGACATCATGGAGAATGTCTAGATCTTTTAAATGGACAAGGAGAGAAAAAAAATACTGTTTTTGTAATGTTTATTTTTTTCTGTAGAGCTGAAGTGAGCCCAGGCGGACTGACCTGGCCGATCAAGTCTTTGTCTCGATTCATGAAGGACGAGGATGCGTTTTTCACAGAAACACTGAGCTCTCGTCTCTGAGCGTCCTCCACACTCATATCAAACTCAAACCTACAGAACAACATTCCAGTTTATGACACACTCACTGGGTCAAGGTCTGATAAAACACATTTAAAACCACTTCACATCTAAGACAGAAAATGCAAACACATTTCAGATCATAAAATCAAAAGACAGATTTACACAATGCATTGTTTGAAAATTATCTTTATAGTATTCCGATATGTTACTAAATAATTATATTAACACACCATTGTGTTTAGATGGTGCTCCAACGCAAAAGTAAGGTAATTTACCATAATACGGAGTTCACAGAACTGATGAGACTTCACTGAGATCTCCCTTATTCATGGACACACACACACACACACACAGTCTCCTAACCTTTCATTGAACTCTGGGTTCAGATTTTTCTTCTTCACACTTGTTTTTCTTTTTGTGGCCTTGCTTTTATCCGGCAGCAGAATGAGGGAGACGTAGGTGTCTAAGCTGTCCTTAGATGATGTAACCAGACCCCTGAAAACACACAACACAGAACGTCCTCACTTGCTTCACCTCAAACTTCAGAATTACGTAGGCAACTTCTGAACTTGAAATGAGTCAAAAGGGTTTCTAATCACACCACACCTGCATGCATGGATGATCACTGTCAACTTCTTCTGGAAGGAAAGGGAGATTTTGATCTGACCAGTGGTGGCCGTCTGCATATTACTCAACACAGGACCTGAACCCATGGCTATTAAGGCGGCCATTTTTGAATCCAAGATCTGGATAAAACAGAAAAAGTAGTTAAACAAAACATCTTGTGCTCAAAAATGATCAAAATGAGTGAAGATAGCTCAAGTTGTCTCACTTTCAGCTGTGCCCCGAGTAGGATCTGGCTCTTTGGTGAAGCTCCATCCAGATCGAGCCACTGGTCCATCAGTAGATCTGGTTTTGAAAGCAGCTCTCTGATTGGTAGAACCAAAGAGCCCATAGGTTGGTCCCAGGCACTTGAGATCTGCTCAGAATGACAATAACTCAAATGAGAGTCTGAAATTATATAATTAATTTATATATGAAATAATTTAAGGTGTGAAGCATAACACAGAAACCCTTTTATTTTAAACACAAATTCTTGTTGTATTCTCGTGCTGCCACAAGGGGTGCAATAGAGGCATTAGTGTAAACTCTTCTTCTACAATCAGTTTCTCTTTCAGGTCAACTACTGTCATGCGGAGCGAGTTAGTTTAGGTTTGTTGATGTGTACACTGTGTATACAATAATGACAATTTTAAGTAGAGCCCGACCGATATATCGTTTTACTGATATTATCGGGCCGATATGAGCCTGTCGCCAATATATCGGTATTGATGAATATGCCGCCGATATGAATTTGTTTTACAGAACATATAATGCAGATAAAATGCTTGAAATGGACCAAACTTTTGACTGGTACTGTACTATAATATACACAAAAAATATCGGCCTTTTTTACCCCCTAATATCAGTATCGGCCCCAAAAAACCCATATCGGTCGGGCTCTAATTTTAAGTATATATTGTCATATATTGCAGCTGCTGAATATTAGTTTATTCTTCATTGCATCTAATCTTCACGAAATTATATTAACGGCATTTCAGGCTAAAATATCCTCACCTTAATGACAAGCATGTCCTTTTTGGGGTCGTGAACCAGAAAGTCAAATGCTTCATTCCAGTAAGGAGAAGTTGATCGATCACACACCTTTACATGAGAGAGCACAGAATAAGGAAATTAAATATATTACAAATGAATTAAAATAAATGCCACATAACATTTTATAGTACTGCATGATTGCTATTATAGACCAAATTCTCCTGCCTTGGTTTTATACGATGTTGCTCCAAGTACAAGTTCAGCAGCAGCTTTGGGTTCCTTTCCACTTTTCTTCAACTAGATGCCAAGACAACCATCAAGAGTTATTAACAGGATCTTTTTATTAACAGAACTTTCATTACATTTACAGTCATTGAAATACTTTATAGAGATTGCTTTAATAAAGACAATTTCTAGTAAATATTCATACAGTGATACTCATAATTAATAGAAATACATGCATACATATATGCAGTGTATAGAAGTATATAGACTCACAGGCAGATCATGAGCTCTTTCTAAATAAATAAACAACAACGCTGCTGACGGCACAGACTTGTTCTGGTAGATCCGAGAGCTTTGCATCTGCATTACCTAGTAAAAAAGACAACTTTTATCACTGAGTCAATCTGATATAAAACAAATAATCAACAGAATCTGTGTGTCTTGATGAAAAACTGACTTGATCCAATCTATCCCGCTGTGTTGAGGTGGGAAGCCATTCCAGGACCAAATGGACTCGACCGTGTTTTATATCATTCAAAGTAAACCACTGGAAAAGAAAAGGCAGCAGGAAATGATTAATGTGCTCACTGTGTTGTGATCTTACAAACCAGAGCCAAATGTGTTGATACTCACTTCATCATCATACTGGGTACTGATGATATGTCCAAGTTTGAGCTTGAACCTGAACACACACGAAGACAAAGTAAAATGTCATTTATTTAATGAATATATTTTTTAAGTTTAGAGTACATTTCATGAAAATTTATCTGGGGCATATTTCACCCCAAAATCAACAGCAAAAACTTTATTTATTTATTTATTTTTTTACATATTACAGAAAATGGTGTACTGTAGTAGGCAGACCTACAATGTTTTTTCTTTTTTAAAATCATAAACATAAATTGAAAACAAATACTACCATGATACATATGAAATGGTGAGGGAATGTGCCTAGTTGGCCCAAAAAATTATGTAATAATGCAAAAAAATCTGGTTTCTTAAGACTTGCGCTTTAATGAGTAATAGTGGTTGTAAATGTACTAACCTTCCAAGGAAATCATCAGATTCAAAATCCTTATCATAGACCTCAAACTTCACATCTAGATTATTATCAGGACTCAGAACCATCTAGTAAATAAAAATGGGAAACACAACTATTAATCTCTTATAAAGTAATTTCTGTTACACCTTGATTTTTCCAAACTACATTTCCCAGCATTCCCACCTCATACATCTCGTTCCAGGTGGGGTTGAGGTTCTCCTTGATCACATGACTTTTAAAGGTTGTGTCTCTGATATGAATCTTGACATAGGGGTCGCTCTTGCCCTTCACCATCCCACCCATCATGTTGTCCTTGGCTACCAGATCCTGAGCTTCCAAAAGATGGATACGCAGCACCCCCTATGGGACAGATATTAAACAATAATAACATTTGCTAATGTGATCCTGCCAAGTAGGATATGTTCCAACATCCCAAGACCTATACCAAAAAAAAAAAAAAGGGTATACTGATCACAGAACCTAAACAAAAGGATAACACTCACCTTGGTGCCAAAGCTGGGGTCATAGCTAGTCTTTTGGGGTCGTACGTCTGTAGAGCTAGAGACTTTTGACTCCTCTGCAGGGACACTGGGAGAAACCTTCTTGCCAGACCTGTTTAGCATGAACAAACACACAAAAATTCATCTGTATATGATGGCCCGTCATTATTATGATTTTCAATAATATATTACTTTGTTAATTAAAGCTAAATCAGGATTAACAAAACCATCTCAAATCTTTAACTCACTGCTCTTCTGCTTTTTCCATGTGTTTTTGCTCTTCATGGGCTGATCCAAATGTTTTGACTGGTTCCATACATCCACCCTCACTGGTAGTGGAATCAGGAACATTGCTGAGATCCTGTAAATGATAAGCAACAATCAGAGTTATTATAGTTATTAAAGTAAACCTTTACATTTGTCAAAATATGTGTTAAAATAGAATAAAAAACAAAAAACAAAAATGGAACTTAATTTATGGTCCGTGTACTTTTGCGCCTATTCGTTTTTTTTAACCATTACGAAAAAAGAAAAAAGAACGGGTGTTGTATTTTTAAACGCTATGTTGAAAACCAAAACTGAAAGTAGAACCGTACACACAAAATGCTGCTCGAAAAAGTAAAATATTCTTTTCAGATAGTTTTGTTCATGAATTTTTGCACCTTTAATAAACATTTTCAAAAAGCGTCTGTATAGAGACTGTATAGAAATTAAATTGAGCATTTATATACAGTGGGTACGGAAAGTATTCAGACCCCCTTAAATTTTTCACTCTTTCAGAAGAAATGGACAGCACCTGAGTTAAATATATGAGTGTCACAGCAAAGGGTCTGAATACTTAGGACCATGTGATATTTCAGTTTTTCTTTTTTAATAAATCTGCAAAAATGTCAACAATTCTGTGTTTTTCTGTCAATATGCGGTGCTGTGTGTACATTAATGAGGAAAAAAATTAACTTAAATGATTTTAGCAAATGGCTGCAATATAACAAAGAGTGAAAAATTTAAGGGGGTCTGAATACTTTCCGTACCCACTGTACATTAAAAAAAAATTAATGGTTTTTAATGAAATACGAATTTTGAATAATGAAAATGAGTTTGTGTCTGCTTATTCTATTCATCAGTGTTTGAACCATTAAAGAAAAACCGCATGTTCTGTATTTCATTTGTGGGTTAAAAATCGAAAAATTAATGGATGCAAAAGTACACAGACCTTTTATTTCTGTTAATTGCTAAAGCAACATTTCTCATCTTCATTTAGTTTAACTTGAAAACTAAAACTGAAGAAATTAATTAATAAAAACTATGTAGACATAAAAAACTAGTATGAACAATGACAAAAACTTAAACTAAAATTAAATTCAGAAATAAAAAATAATTAAAAACAATAAAAGTACCATGATAGTATCTCAATTATACAAAATTAACTCTGGCAACAATGTCTTTAATGAGCAGATAATTTAAAAGGAAGCAAATTTAAGGGGGTCTGAATACTTTCCGTACCCACTGTACATTAAAAAACAATTAATGGTTTTTAATGAAATACGAATTTTGAATAATGAAAATGAGTTTGTGTCTGCTTATTCTATTCATCAGTGTTTGAACCATTAAAGAAAAACCGCATGTTCTGTATTTCATTTGTGGGTTAAAAATCGAAAAATTAATGGATGCAAAAGTACACAGACCTTTTATTTCTGTTAATTGCTAAAGCAACATTTCTCATCTTCATTTAGTTTAACTTGAAAACTAAAACTGAAGAAATTAATTAATAAAAACTATGTAGACATAAAAAACTAGTATGAACAATGACAAAAACTTAAACTAAAATTAAATTCAGAAATAAAAAATAATTCAAAACAATAAAAGTACCATGATAGTATCTCAATTATACAAAATTAACTCTGGCAACAATGTCTTTAATGAGCAGATAATTTAAAAGGAAGCTTTTTCATCATTCACTTTTAACGTTTATTGTGCCATATTTAATCTTTTTTTTTTTTTTATCTATTTTTTCCCCCCAAAACATAGTTTAATGTAATATATATAATGGATCTGAAATACTGTTTAATAAAAAAATTAAATTATATGAAACGAAATTATTTAAGAAAAGAAATAATTTATAATATAATGTATTACATTAAAATTTAAATAATGCCATTATGATTAAAATACTTAATTTTAAAGTAAAATATTTATTATAAAATTAATTATCAATTCAAATAAAATCTTCAAGTGAGTTATGCTTTTTACACACACAAACTAACCTCAGTGTCAAGCAGTGTTTTCGGGACAGATGGCGAGTGATGGGTGTCTGACGTGGGTTTCTGATGTTCTTCAGGCAGTGTTGCAGGTACTGGTAAAGTAAAGGCTGCTAGTTCACTGACCCTGTTGGTCACAACCAGTCTGGTTTAGTTCTCAAAATAAAGCAATATGACTTTTATGAAATCAGAAATCATACCAAAACAAACAAACCTTTTTGTCAGTGTTTTCTTCTCAGACTCCTTACTGACTGCAGCAGCGACTGGTGCTTTTTCTTCACGCTGTTCACTCACCGAATGCTCTTCTTCAACAACAGGCTTCTTACGATGAAGGACACTTGAATCCAAACTTGAATCCAAAATCTGAAATTAAAGTAGAGTAATTTTGCCATTTATACATTTCAAATGGTCTAGATTTGACACACCAACATATAACTAATTGCAAGAGATCCATATACAATATACATGTTTCTTTATTTTATGAATTGAAATGACAATTTGAAAAAGGTAATTATTAAAGGTAATTAAAGTAGAATTTAGAAAAAGCAATAAGAATCATTGTTTGACCTTAAGCTGTGCCCTCAGCAGAATCTGAGTGTCAGGACCTGCTCCATCCAGACTCAACCACTGGTCCATCAGTAGATCTGGTTTTGAAAGCAGCTCTCTGATTGGTAGAACCACAGAGCCTAAGGGCTGCTCAAAGGCACTTGAAAGCTACGGTGAAACGAGAGAAAAAGATGAACAAGGTAACAAGGATATATATATATATATATATATATATATATATATAAGTGTTTTTGATGCACAATGTGTCCATGGACTATACCAATACTGAAAAATCAAGTTAAAATTTATATTACTATACATGGGAAAGTGTAAACTTTAGGTCCTGTAACTAATCGCCTTTTTCTAAATGGTCCAGCAGTGTGACAAATAATATGATATATTTCTAATATCATTATAAATAATACAAATTATTAGATAATAATATATTAAAAGTACAAATATTTCATATAGTCTCTGAATATGTGGTATACATAAATTATATTTATTTAAATAATAATAAAAAGTATTATCATTAGTAGTAGAAGTATTGTTATATATTACTATAATTATTATTTTTATTTAAAATATATTCTTTTTTTATTATTAATTTAAATGTAAATAAATTATAATAACTTAAATGTATTACAAATTTAATAATCATCATTCACCATCATCATAGTTATTATTATGATTTATTATTATTATTACTAGTAGTAGTATTGTTATAGATTAAATTAATCAAATTAATTTAAATAAATTATATTATAATAAATTAAAATGTATTATCATTCATATATATATATATATATAAATAACTTTTATTATACATAAAATAATACTAATAATGAGATAATTAATTACTATATTATACATATTATAAATAGTCAATGTAATGCATAATAAAAGCAGCAAGCATAATAATTCCATCTATTTTACCTTTATAATAAGAATTTCTTCTGTAGGGTTGTGAATGAGGAAGTGAAAAGCTTCACTCCACTCGGGAGACGTGGAGCGGTCACACACCTTTAAACAGACCAGCAAAGAAGTTGCTTATATTAAGGGTCAGAAACTGACACAAAACTTAATCTTTACAAAAGGGCACAAATTCCCACCTTGGTTTTATGAGAAATGTCACCCAACACCAGCTCTGCAGCAGCTTTGGGCTCCTTTCCACTCTTCTTCAGCTGCACACATGACACAGTATTAGGACAATTCCGTCCAATATAGTGTAACTGTATTTGTGTGTGATGATGCTTGTAAGACGTACCGGCAGGTCGTGAGCTCTCTCCAAGAGGATGAAGAACAGAGCAGCTGACGGCACAGATTTGTTCTGGTACGAATGCTCTGACTGTAACTGCAGAGCCTGACATAAAGAAAACAAGAAAAGAAATTCGAACACCAAGTTAAACCATATAAAATACATGCACATTAAACAAACGAAGAAATTAATAATTAATGCATTAAAACAATATTTTTTAATTATTTAATTTTAAAATAATGACATCAAATGTAACAATTTATCCTGATCTAACACTCAAAATGAGTAATTACATTTATTAATCATTAATGCAAAATGACTCTTTAAATGTATTCATTATTTTTACTGAAAGGTAAACTAATCTTGACCCTGTGTATACATACATCACAAGTAAAATTAAAAAGCAAACTCCAAAAATAGCAAATTAAATTATATAAATATGTAATATATATTCAAAATATGTCATAAATGTTAAGTTAATATTTTTAAATTAAATAATTTTATATTAAAATTAAACCATCAAATATAACACTTTACTCTGATCATACAAAATTAGTCATTAAATTTATTATTTTTCATTTCATTCATTATTTTTACTGAAATATTAGAGAATCACTTAAAATTTCAGGAGGTACTTGAAATAAATTCATTAAATAAAAAAAAATTCTAGATGGATCGCATACAGATCAAACTACTTTTAAAACTCAAAAAACATAAGTCTGCATAACATAACATAACATAACATAACATAACATAACATAACATCAGATTTAATGATGACCTTTTGTAGTCTGTCAGGTTGTGTGACTGTAGGCAGCCATTCCAGAATCATATGAACCCGGCCATGTTTGACGTCACTCAGAGAAAACCACTGACACAGAGAAAGAAAACACAATTAAATTGGCAAAACTAAAAATGATTAATCATTACATAAAAACATTATCTACTCTGAAATGAATAATCAAAAAACAGTAATACCACTAAATTGCTAACATGGCACTTTCTCACCTTACCAGTAAACTTATTAGCAATCCTCTGTAAATGCCAATTTAATTCAATCAATCTCTAAATTGCTCAAAATAAATACATTAAAGAGAATGAGGAAAGATATCAGTGATGAATCACTCACTTTGTCAGTCAGCTGGGACTGAATGATCTCCTGTAAGCTGATTTTTATCCTGTGGCCAAGCAAAATTAATATGCAAATATGCATTACATGACATGGACGAGTAATACATGCTTTAAATTAGCTTTTATATTTATTTTTCCATCTTTTGATTTTAGTTTGCATTTTCATTGCTTATACTGTATATACTTATTATTTTTATTTAGTTATATATATATATATATATATATATATAGTGCTGTCAAATGATTAATCGCGATTAATCACATACAAAATAAAAGTTTTTGTTTACATAATATATGTGTGTACTGTGTATATTTATGTATATATAAAAGACACACACATACAGCATATATTTTGAAAATATTTACATGTATTTATTTATATTGATATATATTATATCATATATAAATATATTTAATATATAAACATAACATTTATCTTAAATACCTACATGCATGTGTGTGTATTTATATATACATAATAAATATACACAGTACACACACGCATATATTATGTAAACAAAAACTTTTATTTTGTATTAATCGTTTGGCAGCACTAAATATATATACTGTATATATATATATATATATATATATAAATATTTTATAATTTCAGTTTTAAAGTAATTTTAGCATGTCAACTAGCATTTCTAATTTCTGTTTACATTTTTCATCTATTTTTCATCTAATATTTATATTTTATTTCAATTAACGCACAGTTTTTTTTTATAGCTTTAGTTAGCAATAAAAACATGGCCACATACCTCCCTAAAAGGTCATCTTTGTCCACATCCTTGTCGAAAATCTCCACAAGGACATCAGAGGTCGACCTGGAGGTCATAACCAGCTGGAAAAAGCATTGATCACAGGATATTATTTTGAAAACCATGTTTAATATCAACTAAAACAACATCTGAGGACCTAAACGCACCTCATACATCTCGTTCCAGGTGGGGTTGAGGTTCTCCTTGATCACATGACTCTTAAAGACTGCATCTCCGATATGAATCTTGACATACGGGTCGCTCTTCCCCTTCACCATCCTACCCATCATGTTGTCCTTTGCAATCAGATCTTCAGCTTCCAGCAGGTGGAGGCGGAGCATGCCCTAAAAAACATAAGGTCACCCCATTATGTTGGTATGTTTGCTTTTATAAGCCATATCAACAGTCCACCATCCATCTTAACATTTCTCACCTCAGCACCAAAGCTGGGGTCAGGGATGGTGTGCAAGGGTCGAAGGTCATCTGAACTGGAAACTTCTGGGTCCTCTGTGACCTCTGGGACTTCTTCCTCTTCTGGGACTGACACAGAGGAAGTCCTGCTGACAGGAGATGGTGGGACCTCTTCAAAGCTAGACCTAAGACCCCCCAAACAAACAGACACACACGTCAAAGTCAAAAAAAGTTTATTTCTTAAGTCTTTTCACTTTACGTGGCCAAAGAAGTTACATAACATGCAACAATATGAACAGAAAACATTGTTCCTCTTAAACATCAATCAATAAATATCCATAAATACACTTAACAGTCAACTATAAACAATAAACAAACACTTACTTAAATACATCTGTTTATGATAAAATTATTACTGATTATTTCTATTGTTATTAACTAGTCGATGGATTTCATCATGCTGGTTTTATAAAGAGAAGTGATTTTTAAATTTGAAGAGAAATTACGAGCGAAATATCAGTTGGTAGTTCTGCAGATCTATCGTAAATAGGAATTTCAGTTTAATGGGATCGTTTGTGTTCTACTGAAGAAACAAAGTCACCTACATCTTGGATGTCCTGGGGGTAAGCAGTAAACAACACATTTTCATTTTTGGGTGAACTATCCCTTTAAGGCACTGCGACACATGAATATTCTCCTCCTCTCACATCTGTACTAATTCCTCCTCCTGTTTTCTTCTAATGCTGGACACTTCAGGACGTTTAGGTTCCTCATGGTCTTCAGAGCTCTCTGTCTCTTTAGAGCAAAGAATCTACAACATAAAGAAAACATCACATCAATACCAAATACTCTAATGGGACAGTTCAAGCAGACAGGACAATTCTGCCATCATATACCACTGAATGAACCAGATTCTTTTCTTCTTGAAACTTTTACATGATATTCTGCAGAATGTATAGGCTACTCTTTCATTCTACAATTCAAAAGTTTGGGGTCAGATAGAATTTTATTTTGTTTGGAAACCAGACTTGAAAAGACCAAGTAAAGACAATTTAATGAATAATTTGAAGGTATAATATAAATGAATAATTTGAATTCTTAAATCAAGATGCATTTACTTAAGCAAACTGACATGACAAAATAAGTATTTTTTTCATTAAACTGCTCAAAATGAACAAGTTTTTAATAAAAAAGGAACACATGTGACCCTGGAGCACAAAAGCAGTCTTAAGTCGCTGGGGTATATTTGTAGCAATAGCCAAAAATACATTGTATGGGCCAAAATTATAGATTTTTTTTAATGCCAAAAATCATTAGGATATTAAGTAAAGATCATGTTCCATGAAGATATTTTGTACATTTCCTACTGTAAATATATTAAAACTTAATTTTTGATTAGTAATATGCATTGCTAAGAACTTCATTTAGACAACTTTAAAGGCGATTTTCTCAATATTTAGATTTTTTTGCACCCTCAGATTCCAGATTTTCAAATAGCTGTATCTCGACCAAATATTGTCCTGTCCTAACAAACCATACATCAATGGAAAGCTTATTTATTCAGTGTATATGTATAATCTCAATTTCGCAAAATTGACCCTTATGACTGGTTTTGTGGTCCAGGGTCACATATCTGCCAATGTGCTCAGAAAACCAACTTAATTCAAATGGAAAAGTAATTTTCAAACCCTACTGCCAGATATTCGTTTTTGTTTTAAGCATTTATTTCAATTTATCAGAAAACAAGAATTCATTTCTTAATTTTGCCTCTCAAAAGTAAATGTGTCTTGATTCAAGGATGTTTAGATATTTGTAATGGAATTCAAAAATAGAGGAAAATATTCATTTTTTGCAGTGCATGCAAGATTTAATGCCATGACTTCATGAATTTAAGAGTTTCAGCTCTGATTTAAGACCTTCCATTTAATAAAAATGTTGTTCCTTTGAAATTTCTATTCATCCAAAAATTATGAAAATAAATGCACCATGGTTTCCACAAAAAATATTAAGCGCCAATGAAGAGAAATGAGTAATAGTAATGGCTGCTGATAATTCAGCTTTGCATCACAGGAATAAATAACATTTTAAAATCTATTAAAATAGAAAACATTTATTTTGAATTGTAATAATATTTCACAATTTGTCTGTGTTTACTGTATTTTTTTATCAAATAAATGCAGCCTGGGTTCTTTCAAAAACTTTTAAAATAATAGAATATGTCTGCGTGTGTGTTCTACCTTCAGCTGAGCTCTGAGCAGAATCTGACTCTGGGGTGACGCTCCATCCAGATCGAGCCACTGGTCCAGCATCAGATCTGGCTCAGAGAGAAGCTCTTTGACGAGAATCACCACAGATCCCAGAGAGAAGTCCCAGTTGTGGGTCAACTGCAGAGACAAAGTGAGGTAGAAAGGTTCAAGTCAGGTGGGAGGGTGCGTTGCAAGCCAAACACTACAGTTGTATAACAAAAATGTGCTGTTTGCATTCTCTAACCTTCACAACAAGGTCTTCGTTCAATGGATCTTGAACCAGGAAGTGGAATGCCTCGTCCCACCGGGGAGAGCTGGTGCGATCGCATACCTTCATCACACCGTATCAAGTAAAAGAAAAAAATAATGAATTGTAGCCACACATCATTAATGAATTAATTCAACAGTATTTGTGCAAAAACAGTTTCTCACCGTGGTTCTATGAGAAGTTCTTCTCAAAATAAGCTCAGCTCCAACTTTAGGCTCCTTTCCACTCTTCTTCAACTAAACACAGAAAAAAATAAGCCTTATGAGAACATCTCAGACAGCAAATGTGACCCTGGAGCACAAAAGCAGTCTTAAGTCGCTGGGGTATATTTATAGCAATAGCCAAAAATACATTGTATGGGTCAAAATGATTGATTTTTCTTTTATGCCAAAAATCATTAGGACATTAAGTAAAGATCATGTTCCATGAAGATATTTTGTAAATTTCCTACTGTAAATATATCAAAACTTAATTTTTGATTAGTAATATGCATGGCTAAGAACTTCATTTGGACAACTTTAAAGGTGATTTTCTCAATATTTCGATTTTTTTGCACCCTCAGATTCCAGATTTTCAAATAGCTGTATATCAGCCAAATATTTTGAATGCACTTCTGAATGCACACTGTTTCTTGACAAATACTAGCACAGTTAAACTTTAGAGGAGATACATGCAAAATTGCGAAAGTCTTCTTCTCGGAAGAAAAATCAAACAGGAGGATCCCAGTCTCCTTTTCCTTTAAACAACAGAGATATTAAGATATTAAAGAGATGTCATTTGTGTCATACTCACAGGAAGCTCATGCGCACGCTCCACATACACAAACAGGAGAGCGGCAGTCGGCACTGTCTTATTCAGGTATGAGCTCTTTGACTGGTACTGCAACACCTGACGAATAAATTGCCCAGTTAACCAGTTAGTTTTATCAATGCATTGTCAACACAGATTGGTTTTGCTCACCTGCTGTAGTTTCTCTGGCTGTGTTACAGCGGGCAGCCATTCCAGAGCGAGATGAACACGGCCACGCTTAACGTCGCTCAGAGTAAACCACTGACACACAAACACAAAAGCACACATGTATCAGTATATTCATACAGCTTATTTTTTAGACTTAATACAACTGATGCGCATATACTCACTTCATTAATGTATTGAGAGCTGATTATGTCACTCAGATTCATCTTCAGCCTAAAAGAAAAACAATATATGCCTACATAATGCTAAAACAAAACCATGCTTAGAGTTCTTATGGATTATATTGACAGCAGTCCTCATACCTGCCCATAAAGTCATCTTTCATGTCCATGTCCTTATCAAAAACTTCCAGTGTCAACTCTTGACCAGGAAGCTGCGTCAAAACCACCTTTAAAATAATAATGGGAAATAAAAAAAGTTACAAATACTTTGTCATGCTGTCAAACAATCATTTGGTAAAGATTCTGCAGCTTAAATAAGAAAAAAAAGTCCAACAGATAAATGTTTTGAACACCTGCGTAACGCATAATTTACAGTATCTACTGTATACGGACTTATATTTTTATTAAAAATAGCATGTAAACAGTATGTAATTATTGACATAAAACAGTTATTTTTATTATATTATAAGTTTATTTTTTATATTATATATTTTTTCATATATATATTTATATTTTGTTAGATAGTTATACACTATTGTAGCGTTTATGATTTATATTAGCATTATTTAAATTTAATAAGGCAAAAGTCCCACAAATAAATGTTTTGAACACCTGCATTGGGCTTAATTTGCAATATGCTATACAGACTACTATTTTTTTTTAAATAATTTTTTAATTATTATTTTAAGAATCGTATGTAAATCGTACATATCCGCTGACATGCAATAGTTATTTTTATAGTTAATTATAAACTACTTTAGTATTATTTTTAATTACATCTTTATGCTTGTAAAGCCTTTTGAATTGCATTGTGAACAGCATGCAACATGTAAAAATACACATTTTAAACACTGTTGCATGACCATATTACATTTTTAAAACAAATAAATATAAATATATAAAATATATTATGTACATTTAATTTAATGTGTCATATCCAGTTATGTTTGGAAATAAATATGGTTATTTTGTATTAAGAATTCAAGTTTTTAAGAAAATAACTTTAGCAGTCTAATAAAAAAAATAACATTAGTTAAAATTGTGGTTTAAATCGATTTCAGTTTGTGATTCTGGAAATGAAAGGTCAAGTAGAGCGCAATGCATCATGGGATAAAGTATTCCATGCAGTCAGCTCTAATTGTATACAGCACATTTTAAGCAAAAGCCTACATGCCTAATAAAAATGTAGAATATACATACTACAAACTGCATAAATTGCATGAGTAGTACCGTAGCATACCATTCCCGACATAGTGTCTGGAGTTGATTTCTAAATGTGTTTCCCAGCATTCCCACCTCATACATCTCGTTCCAAGTGGGGTTGAGGTTCTCCTTGATCACTTGACTCTTAAAGGTTTCACCTCCAATTTGGATCTTGACATACGGGTCGCTCTTGCCCTTCACCATCCCACCCATCATGTTGTCCTTCGCCACCAGATTTTGACCCTCCACGAGGTGGATACGCAGCATCCCCTACAGGAACAAAGAGCAGATGATTTTAGAGGCTGGTTATGATCGACTGGACCATTAAAGGATGCTGATTTCAGAACATATCGTACTCTTTTGGCTAATGCGATACATTATTAATAGTATAGAGATATTGACAGTGCTGACTCATGGACACCTCAGTGGCGAAGCTGGAATGGGGCGTCGTCTTCTGTGGACGTGATGCAGAACTCTTTGAAAGAGGGTCACTGGAGAGGAGAGAGGAAGTTACGGCGGCTTCATCCAACCAGAGCACCTGCAGGAAATAACATCAACAAAGAATGAGACTCTTTTTCCAAATATAATGCATTTGACATCATCAACTCCTGTTTAAAGGTTTGGGATGAGTACGATTTTTGTGTTTTTGAAATAAATGAATACTTTTATACAGCAAAGCCAAAGATGCATTAAAGGGGTCATATGATGCTTTTTTAAAGATCATTATTTTGTGTATTTGGTGTAACAGAATATGTTGACATGCTTTAATGTTCAAAAAACACATTATTTTTAAAATACTGTACATTATTGTAGGTCCTCTATGCCCCGCCTCTCTCAAACACTTCGTTTTCTACAAAGCCCCTCCTTCCGACAAGCGCAGTCTGCTCTGATTGGCCAGCTGACCCAGTGCATTGTGATTAGCCGAACACCGCAAGCACTCGTTGGAAATGTAACAACTTCAGGGATCTTATCTATGCACAATCAGCTTGTAACACTCCAAAGAGAAAGGAAAACTTGAAATTGCATCATATGACCCCTTTAAATTGATCTAAAGTGACAGGAAAGACATGTGTAATGTTACAAAGGATTTCTATTTCAAATAAATGCTTTTTTTAAAACTTTCTATTCATCCACAAAAATAGCAGCACACATTGATAATAATAAGAAAATAATATTTATTGTGTATTGTGTGTCAGATGAATTTACCCTGAGCACTGTGTTGATGTGGATGCGGCTTTCTGGACCAGAATTCTCCAGATTAAACCACTCGTCCAAATTCAGATCTTGACAAGAGAGAAGACGGGAAACAGGAATGGACAGACTTCCCAAATCCTGAACACGGTCATTATCCTTCACCTGAAAGAGATGGAAAAATGGCTTAAGTAACATGAATGTGAACTAGCAAAATTCACGTGTGGAAAAAATACTGCTAGCATTCACATAAGAGCCCCGTTTACAGCAGCCTTTAGAGCTGTGGGTTTATAAACAGATCAGACCAGACGAATGTTAGTTCCAGGCAGATGATGTTAGCATACCTGTACGCAAATGTCCTGTTTGCTTGGATCTCTGATGAAGAAAGTGAAAGCGTCCTCCCACTGGGGGTTCACGGTATTCCAGCAAATCTAAGAGGAAGGGAAATGAGTGAGCGAGAAGAGCGAGTCACATGGGACGGATGGTAGGTGTGCATCTTACCCGGCTGTCACGAGTAACATCTTGCACTGAGATTTGAACGATCGGATTGGGATCCTTATTGCCTTTCTTCATCTGAACACAGACACAAATACACTTAAAAACAAACACACCCCAGCAAATGCATTGTAGTTCTTTTATCATTTTGTCATTAATATGATTAGATTTCCTGTTTTAACTGTTTAACTAATTCATAAAACTTTACAGAAATACAGTTAGCAAGCGACTCTTCAAGGCTGCAGTTTTTTAATCAAAAATACAGTAAAAACAGTAATATTGTAGAATATGCAAGCATTCATCCATGTGATAATTACATTCATAAAAATAACTGCAATATACAAAACATGGTTTACATATTTTAATGGTTTATAACAAACTGGTTCTTCAATGTAGACTTCATGTCTTGTGGTGAAAGTTATGTAAGGATTTGCAAACCAAACAAAGTTAACCACACACACACGCATGCACGCACGCACACACGCACGCACACACACACACACAGGAATATTAATTAAGGTTCTCACCTCATCCACTATTTTAGATTTCTTCACAATCCCCAAATCTAATTTTGTCCTGAGCACAAGTGGAATAAAGAGAATCGACGCAAGGATAAGAATAGTGTAATATCAGCAAACAGCAAAAAACACATTTTAAAGAATAAATGAGAGATGGATGGACAGAGAAGAAATGCGGTGATATGGTACCTGCCCAGGAAATCATCATGATCAGGATCTTTATCAAACACTTCCACCTCTAGCTCCTGACCAGGCACCTCATGAGCGATGACCTGACGGACACACACGCATGCATGAAACACTAAACACACACCTACAGTAACAGCATGGGTAATCAATGACAAAATGTAGCGTAAATGGTTCTACATTTGAACTGAAAGACAGATACACATGATATTACGATGTTTATCACATTTACATCACACATTGATATTATAATAATAAATGGCTTATTGCTTTTTTGTTGTTATTATAATGTGGTGTCACTTTAACACCTACCTCATACATTTCATCCCATTTGGGATTGAGTGTGTTGTCCAGATGGCGGGATTTGAAGGTTTGCGGCCCGACTCTGAGCAGGGCGTATGGGTCAGACATGCTCACCATCACACCCTTCACATAGTTATCCTTCGAAGCCAGCCCATCAGCCTCCAGCAGGTGAATCCGCACAACTCCCTTTATGAAAGAAAGATGCACAGAATGAGACTGCAGTGCAGAGAACGGTTTCATTACTGCATTACTCCTAAATGAAAACAAATTATATTGTACCATTTTTTAAAGCAACGTTATCCTTTAGATACTTTTATGCTACTTCTGCATTAAAAAAATGTGGTTAACTATTTCTAATTGCACTGCAAATGTGGCTTTCAAATCAGCATATTAGAATGATTTCTGAAGGATCATGTGACAAATGATGCTTTACCATCACTAAATTAAATGTAATATATATTCAAACAAATATATAAACAGAACAGAAACCGAAAACAGTTATTTTAAATTTTAATAATATTTCACAATCTCACTGTTTTTACTATATTCTAAAAAATAAATGCAGCCTTGGTGGGCCCAAACTATTGGTATGGTAGTTTAAATTTCAATTGCAAAAACCAAAGTATTATGTTTTTGTCAAAATGCTGCATTTTATGTTGATTGTAATGTGTATATTGGCATTTGTAAAGGCCTGTTTGTGTGTTTGTGTGTGTGTTACCCTGGGTAAAGGGCACCGCAGCTGCGCAACATGCAGGTCTGCCACTAGAGGAACAGTGAGACGATTGGGCAGAACCAGGAATGAAGCGATCGCGTCCATGATCATAGTATCTGACATCACACTGAGAGACAGAATCAGAGATAGAAAGTGTTAAATGGATTCAGAGAGAAACACACCACAAATGAAGGCAGCTCAGGACAGTGAGTGTACTGAGCCGAATAAAATGTTATTGTGTATCTCTAATGACTGAAACTCACTTGAGCCCTGGAACGTCCAGCAGGTTGGTCAAACCAGTCCAGTTAATGGTCAGTTTCTAACAAATACAGGGCAAAGGATTAAGATCACATGATTCCAACAAAACTAACATTCTGACTCGAGTACTAATGAAATAACAAACACTTAAGAGGTTCCAGAAATGCTTCAAAAATGAAGAAACCAGATGAACCTTGTAAAGCTCAATGTTTTTTTTTTTAGAAAATCATGTACTGATGCTTCAAAAACCCCAGGAGAGCTTCAATTTTCTTCAGTTAAAGAATGATACTATATACTACTGCAGCAATTCCCAAAATATTTTGTCAGCCGATCCACTTCTAAAATACTCCTAAAATATTTATATTTCAATTATTTCACAACATATTTGCATGTTCACTGTTCTTTTATGTCGGTTAATGGTCACGTGATATGTAGACAAAAAAATATATTTAACCTATTTTAGTAATTGATTTATTTTATTTTACATTTCAAAAACCTTTAATGTCTTGCAGCAACTTTTTAATCTCTGAAGAACTATCTAGGCAACTCAATAACCATATACAGCCAAAAACTGTTTTGTTTGTTGGTTTTGTTTAACAGTGGACCAATCCTCACTATTAACTAACTATTAACTACGACTTTTGCATCAAGAAGCTCCTCATTTGCTGCTTATTAACAGTTAGTAAGGTAGTTGTTAAAGGGATAGTTCACCCAAAAATGAAAATTAGCCCATGAATTACTCACCCTCAAGCCATCCTAGGCATATATGACTTCCTTCTTTCAGACGAATCCAGTCGGAGTTATATTAAAAATTGTCTTTGATCTTCCAAGCTGTTTAATGGCAGTCAGCGGGTGTTGCAGTGCATCAGTCCAAAAGAAGTGAAATAAAGCGCATCCATCCATAATAAAAAGTGTCTCACATGGCTCCGTGGGGGTGAACAAAGGCCTCCTGTTGCGAATCGATGTGTTTTTTGTAAGAAAAATAACCATATTTAAAACGTAATAATCACTTTAATCTAGTTTGCGCCAACAGTTGTACACGGAAGCAGCTCCGGGAGGATGACGTAAGATGTCGGCGTTGCGTCACATACACCTAGGATGCCTTGAGGGTGAGTAACTCATGGGCTAATTTTCATTTTTGGGTGAACTAACCCTTTAAGTTTAGGTATGAGCTAGAATTAAGGGATCTAAAATATGATCATGCAGAATAAGGCATTAATATGTGCTTAACAAGTCCTAATAAACAGCCAATATGCTAGTAATTAATATGCATGCTAATAAGCAACTAGTTAATAGTGAGAATTGCTCCCTAAACTAAAGTGTTACCGATTTATTTCATAGTGTAGATTAAGTTTATAGAAACTCACAGGTCTTTGAATGAAGAACATGGTTACAGCGCCCACGATTGGGACATCACCGATCAGAGGCTCCAAAATCACACGCATCATTCCATGAAGCTGACAGAACAAACGCAAGTGGAATAAACTCTCATTCATTTATTTATTGGGAGTGTGCATCAAATCTACTGTCACAACGAATAATCTCACCTGTATTCCCTTCACACCAGCCTTGCAGAAATACCTCTTCACCTCCACATTTATCTCGACGTCCCCCACGTAACTGGAAAAAGACGCGTTGAGGATACATTAGATGCTTTTTAATCTTAACCCTCTACCACATGGTGTGGCCATATGGCAACATTCTTATAGTGTTCATTTCCTTGCCACTGTCTCTTTAAGAGAATATTTTTGTTTTTTTTTGGAAAGAGAAGACCTTAGTTTAGCCAATGATGTGCTTTGGTTAAGTCACATGGCATGCAATTTTTTTCTGTGGCGAGATTTCTGATAGACTGCCGTCTCATGTCGGTAGTTGCTTAAAGCAAACCAAAACGTCAGTAACAAACAAAGACCAGTCCGTGTCACTTTCGACAAAAATCGGAAAACATCACTGTTATGATGTTATGATGACATATTCACCTCTCAAAAAAGTTTTTATGAAATTAGTTTTTGGTAAATCATTCAAATGTATGTGTTGCCAAACGGTTTAGCTAGCTAGCAAGGTCAGCTGCAACAATATTTTAATATTATAATAATCTGTTAAACTGTAACAATAACAACATTAATACTAGTGATATAATGTTGATTAGTCGTATGTTAATGCAATTTGTATTATGGATATAATCAAATTGAAATGGCAATTTTACTTTTGATTAAATATGAATACAGGTAACATTACATCAGTGAGCACGGCCATATTCTATGACAAGGTAAAGAAGAAAAAGGCAGAACTGGCTGTTCCTGCAGATGAAAAAAAATGCTTTGTGAAGTTTCATACATAAAAAAGGTCATCTTTCAAGGATTATGGGATGGGGGGGGGGGGCTCATGTTCATAGTCTTCCTCTCATAAGATTGCGTAATGCTACATTTTCATGAACTGCAATGTTTTTGGTTTTATGATACATGATATACAGTATTATATTTGTTTTAACTGTATAAATTTGCAGTTTAAGTAAAATTCATGAAAAATGTAATGAAATAAAAAAATTATAAATCATTATTCAGCTAAAAAGAATGGAATAAATAAAAGCACAAGTTGTTGGAAAGTATGTATAAGGTGTCGATTATAAGTACCGTGTTAAAGCTTATAACAGCACCAATTGAATCAACACAAACAACATTTCTGACGAAATATATTAACTATAAGTAAACTTACACTTATTCTAAGTTAGATCCACTATTGTATGCTGTTGCCATATGGAAACATATCATAAAGTGCCTTAAAATAATATTTTTTTCCAAAATTCTTTTTACAGCAAGTACAAATTGTAATGTATTTTTACAAGTTATCCAATTGTAGAAAAGAAAAAGATTCAACTATTTTTTTCTATAGGTCCATCATAATGCGTGCGGTAGAGGGTTTTAAGGAATTTTGCTGAATTTGTCCAAAACAACTAAAACTAATATAATTAATTGAAACTAAGAAATTGAAATGCCTTTCAGTCTTTCAATAGGATTGAAATATCCTCTCACTTATTTCTCTGAAGAAACTCAATCAGGCTGAACAAATCTGAGTTGGCTGCGGTTTGACAATCTTGTTTTGTCAACCTGTGAAATACAGACTCAATATCGAGTACACAAGGCTTTGAAATCACTCCCTGAGAGACAATAGACAATTCCCTCATTATAGGACCTCATGTTTGCAGAGAATCTCAGATGCATGCGTCACCTGATGTAAACGTCAAGCAGAATTTGACCTTTCTCGTTTTCTGTATGAGCCTTCACTCCAACCACCTTCATCGGCTGTAAAATAAAAGACAGTTCTGTTGTAGAAGATAAAATATGCAGGCAAGACAACTGGGCAAATCAGTTGTCTCTTTATGAATGTTATTCAATAATGCTAAAAGCCGTATAATAGTTCAGGGATTCCAAAACCCCTTTGACCTAAAATATGTACTTGAAGTACCATCTATGATTTTAAGCTAATATTTTAATAATTTAACAACACACTTGTATGTTTAGGGTTCTCTTGATTTCGGCTAATGGTCACATGACATACAGGTAATCAAATGAAATATTTTTAGTAAGGGTTTCATATTTCATAATGATCTATTTACTTTATTTTACTTTTTTATGATTTAATAGCTTTTCATTGACTCACAACCTTCCTGCAGTATTAGCAAAAATATTTGCAACAAAATATACAATTTCAGTCTTGCAATATTTTTTAAATGACTTCAACATCTAAATTTCACTACTGCCTCAACAGGAATGTTTGCCATGAGACATCAGATGTTGATACTGTTCTCTAGAGCATTTATTTAAACAGAACGCTTGTTCTGACACGTTTCAGTGGCACTGGAGCCTCTTTTAATCTCTTGCACTGCGGTGGATTGAGATGTGTGGGAATGTTTCATAGGAATATTATTTATTGAGTAGCTGTAAGTGAATGAGCATGTATGACCTTGCCACCAAAGTCGACCTTCGTAAAGCAGAGCGTCTGCAGATGAGTGCTGGAGCCGCGGATGGATGGAGCAATGGTTTCCGTCAGCAGCTTCTCCAAATACTGACCAATAAATGGCCAGGCCTGCTGGATAACCTTGAAAAACAGACAGGAAGAGAAAGAGTGTGTCATATTTTATGTCAGAGTGTGTCTTTTTTTTTTTTTTAGATTATTTATGCATCGTTCATGGAACGCTTTTTTTATGAAACGTTTTAGTTGGACGTTCATTTAACATTTTTTAAATGTTACTACCCGTTTCAGAAGGTTTAGGGAACATTTAAAAGCAACATTCTCATTATGTTTGAAAAATGATCAAATGGAATGTTCTCTTAACGCTCGTTTAACTCATGCCTGTTCTCTGCTCTGCTTGCAGCTGTTTACACCGTGCCAGTTGTGTTTGCCTTGTTACTATAGCGAGGTGAAAAGCTGATAACAGAAGCTAACGCACCAGTTGCCGGGGTATTTTTCAGATCGTTTCGTTGCATGTGCAAACCACAGATATTAGAAATAGCATTGTGACTCATGCAAAAAACACATGACCATGGGGTACAACAAGGGTAGAGTCTAGGCTGGGATAAATTTCCAAGAGTAAAATGTCTGCCTCGTGAATCACTGATAAAGAACGTCAGGCCTAAATATTTGTGCTCTAACGACACGCTGCAGCACTTTTACACATATTATTTACTATTATATAATAAGACTATTACTGAAATGGGATGAGCTTCATCGCAAAGAAGGACAAATGCAATAAAGACGCCAGGAAGGGATATATCTCTATATGCTCCTCCTTTTTCTGTCTCTCAGTAGAGTAAATCTCAAGAAGAAAAGTTAATTTCAACCCCAAAACTAATTTTTAAAAATATATTTTTTTAAATATACCATTAATACTAAATAAGTTTTACTAAATATGTTTTACTTAATACTAAATATGCTAACTTTAGCATTTAAATAGCAATTTTTTTTCTGAAGCCTTTTATGTATTATGTTGTCTTTTATTATTATCATTTGGTTTCAATTTCCATTTTTTGTTATGCATTAATTTGAGCTTTTATTATCATTATAAAGTGGGTTTTATCTTTAATTGTGTGTTATATTTACTATGGTATTTTGGCAACTATCGTAATGATTTTTATTGTAAATGTTTTAGAGATGCAAAAGGACATACAAAATTTAATTTCTTGGAAAAACATGCATTGCAACTCATCTACTAATTCAAAGGCAGGAACATATGTTGGTTGAATTAGTGTTTGGTTAAGAATGAATGTGTAATAATAGCATATGCAGCTTTTGTTCACCAGGCATGCGCATGTTTTGTGTGTGTGTGTGTGTGTGTGTGTGTGTGTGTGTGTGTGTGTGTGTGTGAGTGTGTGTGGTCACAGACAGCTGTTGTGACATAAGGGAGGGTCATACGGACTGGTTGGGTGGGGTTTAAAGGCACGGCTCAGGAATACATGAGATTACAGGCTTGATTTTACATGTGGCATCTCAATGAACAAATGTAAACCAAAATGTTTGCAGAATTACCTTGTTGAGCCATTCCACCTTCTCCACATCTGGAAAATTTACCTGAAGTTATGAAGAAAAAATAATAACACATTTTTAAATGCAAAGACTGCCAATGCATACGAGCTTTAAAATGTCAGTACAACCATCTTTAACAGAGGATGTGATTATAAAGATGGAAAAATAAAACAGCACATACAACCACCTCAGTCTAGCATGAACATTCTTCCTCCAAATTCATAATTTCTTTCTTAAAAAACAATAACATATATTATTTGCAGTGTATAATTAGATTTCTCTTGGAAAGAATATCCCCATTAAAATGGAATAAATAAATAAATGTTGTTTTATTTAATTTAAATGCATTTTAAATGTATTTTATATATACTTTTTTCACCACATGACAGCCATGAGACATGACCAAATATAGAATAAACTCTTTTATGGACTCTCTCACTCTGTGCAAATGTGGAAGGGATGACAAAGCAACAATGTGTTCAGAATTATTTGGGCGATGGGAATTTTGCCAACTATGCAGCACCTAGTATGCAGTATACCACCAAAACAGCGCCACCATCAGCTCGAAAAATGTCCTCTAAATCTGCAGACCACACCTACACTTCAGCAGCACTGGGGAATCAGATTCATTTCAGCGAATCGATTCCCTCAGACGGGTTTTTTTCAATGAACTGGTTCAAAAAACGATTCACCGTGACTGATTGTTTTGAGTCACTACATTTTTTTTTGTGTGGTAAAAGATGTTGTTCTGTTGAACACGACTGTTTCCACTATGTTCTCGAGAAGGTTGCGTCAAATATTAGAGTTGTTCATGTCATCCTCCTCAGTTGTACGTCTATGCTTATCCTTAACAGCGAAGTGATTTCAAAAGCCGTGCGAATCCGAATCATTCGAAGGAACCGATTCATAAGAACAAATCATTCGCGATTCGGACATCGCCACTCTTTTTAGTTGTTTGTGGCTATGCATATCTTTTACATTAACACATTGTCTGTTTCACTTGTAGTATACGTGTGGGTTTATTCGGACGTTATACATCAATAACAATTTTTTTTTCAAGAATAACAAAAGACACACTTTTGTGCATTCTTACCCAAGAAGGCAGGTCTCTTCTACTTCTAAATGATTTGGAGGATATGTATTCGTGTTCGTCGCTGACTAACTCTATAGCGGATTTCAGTCTCGCCTCCTTCGCCTCACGAGTGTGTTTCCATCCTGCGTAAACCATCATCCCAAACACCACTAAACTAGTGCTCATCCGATAGTAACCAGCCAGGTAAACGGGCAACAAGGCAGTAAGACATTTGCCAAAAGTCCATAAGATTGCCTTGGCATCAAAGAGTTTAGTTTTAGGGACGTCCATTTCTCCCGTTGAACTGTCCTGGGCCGGTTCGGTCTTCTTTTCGGAGTCCGAGTCATTTTTCGGCCCTGCATCAACGTGAGACATTGTTGGTGTGTACGCAATTTTTTTCCAAAGTCGAGATAGGATTACAAAGCGATTGCGCGCAGCTATTTGCAACTCAAATTCAACATATGCTGTTGAGTTCCAGTCGAGCGTTTCTGTCGCGCATGGACTGCAGATGAGTCGGATTTGCCTGATCACTGCGGATCAATAATTCAACCCGAGAAAGCGAAGTATAGTGGCAGTATCTCTGTCTGAAAACCCCGAAGTGTGGCCCACACCGTTACTTAGGCAGATCCACGCCCACGAGAAACGACGCAGCTGTGTAAAAAGGGAGAAAACGTTGTTGGAGGCTACAGGGATGGGTGATACCACTTATTCTGTTTTCGATACGATACCGATATTTTTCAAGGCAGTATCGTCCATATCGATACCGATACGATACTTCTGAACTAAACTTTTAAATGATGACATTTATTAAATTACTAAGAGTGATTAAATGGGTATTGATAACTTTGTTTAAAACATATTTTAACATTCAATATGCCTTAACTGTAATTTATTAGGTTATATTTTTGTTTACACATGATTCAAATCTATAAATACTACAGTTGAACTAAGGTCACTTTAGTAAAACCATGGTTTATTTTCATAAGGGACTGCCAGTGACCGGCTGTTGCATGCATAAAATGCAACCTTTTTATTCTGACAGTGTATGATTTACATTAACATTACAGAATATAACATGATCGATATTATCTTTCAACGTTCAGTTTAAATAACTGTAATTGTACAAACTATGTAGGCTACGATTTCAATTTGTTTATTGTGAAATAACTCAAACATATGTTTTTTTTTCTGTCCTCTGATAAGCATTGTTCAGGGCTGCCGTTCCCAAAAGCTTGAATGCTTTCTTATGATACTTTTTAGAAACGCAGCCCTGTTTGAATGCACTTTTAGAAGTGAGTGAACGCTCTCTTTGATGGATTGGTTCTGTCTTGCAACATTTGCGTGTTTTCAGATGAGCAGGAAAATAGTTCTATCCTACACAATTACTCGCTAACAAAGGCTATTCAACGCATTTATACGCATTATTATTATTATTATTTTAAATAAACAAAATCACTGGTAAATAAAACACACCTTAGTATCGATACTTTCGATACTCGCGTCAGTATCGATATATCGATACTTAGAATCGGTACGCCCATCCCTATTGCAGGCTGCAGTAGGCAGTTTCTTCTTTTAAAGCTTCTACCTTTACGTCTCCTGAGTCAGTTCTGACTAGACACAATTTGATTTAAAGTACATGTAAAGCAATTCTGACTAAATACGTGATAATGGAACGATAATAGTCCGTTTTTATTCATTTTTGACTAGGCAAAACTAATGCAAGATATATGGAATACATCTTTCATTATGTATTCATTTGCATATAAGGTATCTAATGAAATAACGATATTTTAAGGTGTAGATATCTTTGATTACATTTTTATTAGTTCGAATCATTTAAAAACAAATCCTAAAGGAATGCTAATAAAACGTCCATCATAATAGTAAAACCCATTCCTAATGGGAGAGAGTGCTGGACTCGGGGAGAACAGGTCAGATAACGCTAAAAGGACTGTGTTATGGTGTGAGTGGTGGAAAAGTCCGCTGGCGCAGTTTAGCACAGTTAGCATGTTTGCTAGCTTCGTAAACGTTCACTCTGTTTATTTTCTGCTTCTATAGTTCACGCGTGACCAGAAACGAATGGGAAGCAAAGTTATACGCTTAACAATAGCATACTAATCAATAAAATGTTAATATTTCCCATTAGCAACTAATGGCTTGTTAGCTGACGTTGTTAGCTGTGCCTGGGCTTGTTTACGACATTTAATCTTTTTTTATGGACAAGGGATGTTTTCATATGCCATGTTTATTGTGTATTTTTGCTTAGCTTGCGTTTAAAACAGTTTAAATAAGCACTGAAAAGAAAAAGAAAACAGTAGAGATTTTGCTGAGATTTTTGTATTTATTTATTGGTCATATCGCTGCAAAAAGAAATACTGGGATGTCTAATGTAGGTTAAAAGTTAAGCAACTATTGAACACAAGTGTGAACGAAGCATGCATTGATTTTTTTTAAATCAAATCTACGAGAATTGTTTAGTCAAGTGCAGAAATTGAATTACTTTTATTTTTTATTTTCCTGCTGTCACTATATGGATGGAAGCGGATCCAATGGTGGGGTTCAATATATTGCCACGCATCCGATTCCGATCTCCCCTCAAATGTTTACGTTCAATCAGGACATAAACTGGTTGCGAAAAAAATCTTTTTGACAGCTTACATATTTGGACATAAACCGTCCAGACGCAGTAATTACGCTGCAAAAAGGAAGTGAATTCTTTACTCGTGCAATTCAAATCCACAACTTTAAATTAGTGTGAGCTTTTATGTGTGACATTCGTTAAAATTAAAATGTATTTTTCTATAAATTGTAGGACTTTGACTCAAAATCATCCTAATTTTGTTTATCTGTTTATGACGCGCTGCATGTCACGTGATGTCCTATTATGACGTAGCTGTGACGTCATCGGAATTTAGAACGTTCGGAGCCTAAAAGGAGCAAAGGTGTTAGATGATTAACTTGATCTGACTGAGGCATCCATTTGCAGATACATCAGTTGTGACTTGTACACAGCATTTGTGAGCTTTATATAGTAATTGCAAAATGCCAGTATCCTTTAAGTGGTCTTCTAGTGAGGATAACATGCAACAAAGAGACCTCAGCTGGCCGTTGCTTGTAAGCAATTTGCACCCACTTGTGGACAAACTAATGTTGCATGTAGTATTCGACCCATTTGGACCCATTTGTTCTCTGCAAGTGTTCAGAAGTAGAAATAACTTCTGTCGTGGGTATGCTTTGGTTACTTTTGAACATCGCAGTGATGCAAAAAATGCTCTAGAGGCTCTGGATTTTTCAGAGCTCTTGGACAAACGACCAATGCATGTCATTTGGGCCGATCACTTATTGTTTGCCGGGCACTCTGAAATTCCTGATCTATGTGAAGACATCTCATTCTTTGGGCAATTCCAGACGTGCAGAATGCACAAAAATAACAGCTTCGACCCCAAGGACAGCAGCTCTCATGCACCGAGGTCATTGCTTGTAAGTAACTTGATGACATGTGTGAGTGAAGAAGAGTTGCTGGAAGTATTCATCCCATTCGGCCCTATCTCCACTGTGCATGTGTGCAGAAATGAATTAACCAAGGTCTCTCGCGGATTTGGTTTTGTTACCTTTAAACAACGACGTGATGCAGAAAGTGCTCTAGAGGCTCTGAATTTTTCAGAGCTCTTTGGCAAAAAGGTGTGTATCTCGTGGGTCCAAGACACGACCGCTGAGGCCCTATTGAGGAGCAGCAGCCCTCAAGACAATTGGGATGTTCCAGAAGCAAGCCATCCTAAGCCTGTCAAGCAATCACTGGGGAGAAAGCTTGTAAATACTGCGAAAAATGCATTAACAGCAGTTTTGACCAGCCCTGAAGGCTGGGTTGTCATTGGTCTTTTGGCCACAGCATGGGCGATGAGGAAAAATTAATTCCCATTCAGCCTACAGCCCTGCTGATGGTGGACAAAAATCCTCCCCAAACATAAACATGGTGCAAAAAAAAAAGCCATAGAAAATATTTTCACAATAGTTTTGAGCAGCTCAGAAGATTAGTTTGGAGAAAAGCAGGCCTAGTAGTCAGCGCCAACCCATACAAACTATGGGGGCATTTGCGTTTTTAGAGGGTTTTAAGTTTTAATTGCATTCCAGGGAGGGGTGGTGGTAGGGACGTCCCTCTCAGTAGAAATTGTTAAAGTGGTGGGCAGGGGACTGAAGTGGCCGGACCAGAGTGCACGAAAAGAACAGCTTCAGCTTGGATGACCCCAAGGAGAGCAGCTCTCATGCACCGAGGTCATTGCTTGCAAGTAATTTGCTGACACATGTGAGCAAACAAGAGTTGGAAAAAGTTTTCTCATTCGGCCCTATCTCCACTGTGCATGTGAAAATCAACAAGGTCTCCCGCGGATATGGTTTTATTACCTTTAAACATCGATGTGATGCAGAAAGTGCTCTAGAGGCTCTGAATTTTTCAGAATTCTTGGGCAAATCAGTGTGTATCTCATGGGCCCATGACACGGCCGGTCGAGGCCCTATTGAGGAGCAGCAGCCCTCAAGACAATTGGGATATTACAGAAGTAAGCCATCCCTAAGCCTGTCAAGCAATCACTGGGGAGAAAGCTTGTAAATACTGCGAAAAATGCATTAATGACAGTTTTGACCAGCCCTGAAGCCTCGTTTGGCATTGGTCTTTTGGCCACAGCATGGGCGATGAGGAAAAAATTATTCCCATTCAGTCTACAGCCCTGCTGATGATATCCCAAACCTAAACACGGTGCAAAAAATGGCAAGAAAATATTTTCACAATAGTTTTGAGCAACTCAGAAGATTGGTTTGGAGAAAAGTAGACCTAGTAGTCGGAAGTGGCCTGGCCAGCCTGCCCACCTGCTCATGGCGCCGACACTGTATTAATGACATAACCAGAAACAGAAGAAATAGATCAAATATCAAATTGTGTCGCTGACACTGCGTTCTAAAGATGGTCATACAGCAGAGAAATGTCCCCTTAACCCCAAAGATATCAAGAAAAGAAAAATTACAAAAACTAACCCACCCACCCACGATGCAAACAAAGGCCTCGAAAACAAGCAGCATTGACGGCAACCATGGCCTACAGTCCTGTGCCCCCTTGATATCCAAAAAGATAAATAAAAAAAGTAATACAATAATAGTGCAAAATCTCTTTGTGTGTGCAACTATTCATTCTGTGCATTATTTTGAATGTAGCCTAGATCTGAAGTTGTCTACAATGTCATTATGAAAAGTAATATTGCTGAGAAAAACTAAAATCAATCACTGCTCTTGATATTATTGCTTGTAATGTGTTTCTTTCACAAGGTCCTTAAAGTGGTTTAAATTCAAGGTCTGGAATAATTGAAAAGTTCTTAAAAGTGCTTATCTTGAAGGTGTGTGTGGCTTGCACACACGAGAAACAAATGTGTTTTGAAAAAGGTATTACAAATATGTTATGATATTCACACACTCTATAGTGCCATGCAATGCAACCAATGTCTAAAATACAAAAAACAAAAACAAGCCTGTGGAAGAAAAAAGGCTTGAAAAAGGGCTTAAGTCCTGGATTTTCAAGAAGTGGTGCCTGTATTAAGTGTATAGTGGCTGTGTCATATATATATATATATATATATTTATATAATGTAACGGTACACAAATATGACATTCGGTAAGTACCTCGGTTTTAACGACACAGTTATAAGTTATAAATACACACTGAACAAAATTATAAACGCAAAACTTTTGTTTTTGCCCCCATTTTTCATGAGCTGAACTCAAAGATCTAAGACTTTTTCTATGTACACAAAAGGCCTATTTCTCTCAAATATTGTTTACAAATCTGTCTAAATCTGTGTTAGTGAGCACTTCTCCTTTGCCGAGATAATCCATCCACCTCACAGGTGTGGCATATCAAGATGCTGATTAGACAGCATGATTATTGCACAGGTGTGCCTTAGGCTGGCCACAATAAAAGGCCACTCTAAAATGTGCAGTTTTATCACACAGCACAATGCCACAGATGTAGCAAGTTTTGAAGGAGCGTGCAATTGGCATGCTGACTGCAGGAATGTCCACCAGAGCTGTTGCCCGTGAATTGAATGTTAATTTCTCTACCATAAGCCGTCTCCAAAGGCGTTTCAGAGAATTTGGCAGTACATCCAACCGGCCTCACAACCGCAGACCACGTGTAACCAC